CAGAAAGAAGTTAAGGTCTGAACTAACGAAGATATTACTAATATCGAGGACAATTTTAAGGCCTTGAAAGATATGCTGGTCTTTGGTGATCTAGAAGATACCATACCCGCCTTACTAGAAAGTTTAGAAAATTATGAAGAAAATTATCCTTAACCTCAACAAATTAGACATTAACGGAAAGCCGTGGCAAGAAGCCCTCCAAGAAATTCCTGATTCCGAAAAATACCGATTTTGGAAATGAGAATACCACCAGTTCCAGGGCGTAAGTTTCTTTTGTTCCCGTTGCGGACTAAAAGTTAAAAACGGAATTGGTTATGGAACTTATGAAACGGTAGCCGCCTATCAAGCCGACCTTGACAAAAACGGTTATGGTCGTTTATATTGTGAAGCTGATGCTTGAGCCAAAGGTTACTCTCACGCTTATTTGAATCCCAAAGAATACCGTAATATGGCTTACAATTATCACCAGCATCATCTTAAAAGGCCAGCCTACAAAAAGGTTTGTGTTGATTTGGGAAGCTCGTGTGGAGTTTGTGAAACCTGGAATAAGTGACTAGAATTTAGGCAAGTCAATAAACAAAAGCCATTGACTAGTGAAAAAGATTCCTTTAATCATTGATACTGGGAAAGAGAAAAAAAATCAACCGCCCTCATGGTAGACGCTATGCTGAGTTAAGCCTAAAAACCCTATGCCTTATAAAGATAAAGAAAAAAAGAAAGAACTGAAAAATGTTTCCCAACGAAAAAGCGTTAGACCCTAATTCGGGTGTTAGTCTCAAAAAGTTAGACCCGCAATCAGTTGATCCTAGAAAGAATGGGTTAGACCCAGTAGATGTTAGACCCTTTAATAAAAGTGAAATTGTTAGTCCTGCGGTTGATTCAAAACTGGTTAGACCCTTAAACAATGTGAATGCCAGGGAAGAAATCAAATCACTTTTAGACTTAAAAAAAGTAGAACCTTCTCGCGTAAAACCCGCAGAATCCTGTCAAACTTTTTCTGATGCAGAACCCAAAAAACAGGTAGAACAAAAGCCCGAAACAATTAAGATTAGTCGTGTTATTCCTGATGAATTTCTTGTTAAAACAGGCGTCCCAAGAAAAATGGTATATGTTTATATTAATGGTTGTTGAGAGCCCAAGGTATGAAGTTTTGAAATCCCACTTGAAAAAATTGAATCTGAACCTACTAAAATAGCCGAGATGGAAGCACAAGCCCGGAAATATTGGCCAAAAAATGAGCCAAAGGCGAATTAGACAAACAGAATGCAAACTTTAACCATTGACCCCGGCAGAACCGGAACCAGCGGAGATTGGTATTATCGTCAACAAAAAATTTCTCGGCACCAATTAGATATGCTTTACTACTATTTCACTTGTGAAAAAAAA